ATGGGGGACAGAGAGTGTGCTGTCAGAGGCCCGTCATTCGAGGGCCCTGTGAGTCCTGGGAGGCCTTCGGGTCTCTTTTCAAACATGGTAGGGAGCTCTTAGAATTTCAGGAGAGTGGGGGACACATCTGGACTATGCTTTCCAAAACCCGACGCAGACTCGTCGGGGAGGCGGGGCGAGTGAACATAGGACTTCCAGGGACCAGGTGGACACAGACCTGGATGGGCTGCTTGAGGGCCAGTTGCTAAATTTGAAGATGGATGGGGTGGGTTGGGCTGGGTCCTGGAGTATTGAGAACGGAGGAGGGGCCTGCCCATAGATGGAACATGGGGACCTAACCAGGAGAAATGAGGAGCAGGTGCAGGATCCACAGGCCGTGAGAGGTGGTGGGTTAGGTTAATTCCCAGGAGGTACATGGAGTAACAATGACAGAGCATATGTGGGATGCTGGGGCTTACAGTAAACAGAGTCCCGTGGGATGGTTTAAGGGTGTTAGACAAGCAGCATGGGGAGCCCACTAACTCTCAGCACCCCCATCCTGTTCCCTCTCAAAGAGGCTGAGGGGAGCACAGAGCTGGGATGCCCCGCCACTCATATGACTGCACATGGACCAGCAGTGCACATGGCCCTTGCCAGACTGAGACCTGCTCTCAGCTCCCTTCCTGACCACGAGCCCTCCCGTGGCCTAGAGAGCACAAGCTTGGTCACACACCGTGTCCCATCCATGCTGTGCTCTGATTGGCTGGTAACCTGGGCCCTCTAGCTTTGTAAACAAGAGTCCTCACAGTTGCATTTGGAACTGCATGGCCTGTCCTTGTCCCCACCTTTGCCCTGACCCAGAGTGGGTCAGACTGTTCGCTCCACGACCGGTGGCTGCCAGCTCTGTCCACCTGACCTGGGGTGGGGCACGCACGAACCTGGTAGCTGGGGACGTCCTGACACTCGGTGTTTATCTGCTTCCTCCTCACCTTAGTGTGTCCACAAGGTCCCAATGTAGGGGCCATCGTGGGAGGCACCCTGGCAGGCGTCGTGCTGATCGGCGTCCTCCTGCTGGTCATCTGGAAAGCTCTGACCCACCTGACTGACCTCCGGGAGTACAAGCGCTTTGAGAAGGAGAAGCTCAAGTCTCAGTGGAACAACGTGAGTGGCCATCCCCGGGGGCCCGAGGCAGCTGGTCCCGCGTGGAGGGTCTCACCCTCCGGTCCCTATGTAACCCCCCACAATGTGGCTACTGCCTGTCCCTCATCCTCAGTGCAAGCCCTGCCAATGGGACTAGAACCTGCAGGAAGGTCACCCCGATCTAAGCTCTTCCCTTCCCTGTGCTCACAAGTCTCATTTGCTTTTCTCACCAGGATAACCCCCTTTTCAAGAGTGCCACCACAACAGTCATGAACCCCAAGTTTGCTGAGAGTTAGAGGCACTGGTGAAGATAAGGTCATCCGAGCCGACCAGATGGAATCACCCCCAGACCACGTCTCTTCCATCAGGCTGGCCGTGACCCTGCTCCATGGACGTGGCTTGCAACGCCTGACAATTTCATCTATTAACCAGAAATCCGCTATTATTTTCTGCCCTCAAAATGACAGACATGTCCTGGCCGGCTTTCCTTAGTTGTTAGAGCGTTGGCCCATGTACCAGGGTCATGGGTTCGGTTTCCGATCACGGGCACATACCTTGCTTGCAGGTTTTCCAGTCCCACTTGGGGCCCATGCAGGAGGCAACCAATTGATGTCTTTCTCACACATCAATGTTTCCCTCTCTCTCTTTCTCTCTCTGTCCCCCTCCTCCCTCCCTTCCACTCTCCCTGGAAATCATTGGAAAAAATATCCTCAACTGAGGATTAAAAAAAAAAAAAAGACAGATATGACAGGGTGATTATATGGATTCCTCAGGAGGCCCAGTCGCCCCTTCTGCCCGGTATGACCTTCTGATAGAGACTCGAAAAAGGGATCGCCGGAGTCTTATGAGGTTCGATCCATGTTTCCCCGTCTAAAAATGAGGACGGTGGTCTGATGAAAGGTGGTAAAAACATATTTATATTTGCACTTATCAGGGTATAAAATCACACCCATTGATTCCACTGTTCCCCAATCAGGTGTATAGAAACCATTAATAAACTTTCCTCTAGCCTCTCCATGGGAGCTTGCTCTGCAGGCTGTGTCCTCCCTCCCCCACCCCACTCTCAACACCATTACAGGGTTCATGTCAACTTCAATTCCTGGCCCAGGGCTCGGCTTTCTTGTCTCCTTCCTCGCCTGTTGGCCATGCATGCCAGGCTTCTCTTGGTCCCAGTTCCTGCCCCACATGTAAGCAGATTTCAGAAGACATGAGGCAGCCCCACCAAATAGGGTCCCTACAGAGCCTGAACAGGAGGGAGCAAGCCCAGAAATAAACATCCCTTACCTCCTCTCCAGGTCTTACCTGCTCTTGGGAGAAAGGGGTATGGGAAGTACGTGAGTTTAAAGCGAGTGGGTTTTCCCTAACGATCTCCTTGGGATACCTGTAAGTCATGGCTGATCAGTGCCATTTGCCCAAGTGAACCAGCCAAGCCTGGGTACTTACCGGCATGGCCTTATCCCAGAGTGAGAAACAGACACTGGGGCACCTGCCAGTTGGCATCGTGTCAGCAGGGTCTGGGTGTAGCCAGTGAGAGCCCGTCAGGGTGGGGAATCCAGGGGTCCCGGGAAAGGGCCTCAGGGTCTCCAGGACTTTAACACCCTCTGCACCCACCTTAGTGCTTTGTGTCGCTCATCTCCATGAATTGTGAGTCCACATTCTCATCCATAAATATACTTTTAGATAATGTTAGTCCTTACATTTTTATTTTTTATTTTTATTTTTTTTATTAAATTATTATCTGTGTACATATTTTAACATTGCCCCCCCCCCCATACATACCCTCCCTCCCCAGAGAGTCCTTACTTTCTTCTCTGGAAACATAGTTCTTTATTACAATCCCAGCATAACTCTTGATGTTAAAACATCCATTTGTTCATCAAGCACTACTGGAGCATGGCTAAGTGCCTGTCACCATGAAGGAAACATAGACAAACACGGATACATTCCTGGCCTCATGAAGGTGCACATAACACAGCCAGTACAAAGTTACAAATGACATGTGCTGGGAAGGAAAGCAGGTGACAGACTTAGAGCAAGATCGAAGGAAGCAGAGGATCCAAGATGGCAGCAGGGTAGGTGGAAGTTACATTCACCTCCTCTCCGGACCAAACTGGAATTACACCTAAAGTATAGAAAAATCAACCCGAATAAGCAGCTCAGGACCAGGGGAGCAAAAGTCTTATAACCAAGGATTTACACAAGCCCCTTGGCAACCGGTAGGAAGGGCAGAGACATAAAAAGAGCTGGCCCCCTACCCGACATGCAGCAGCTGAGAATCTGGAAGGTCATCTCAGCTGTAAAGGTAGCCCCTAAGGAGCTTGGTGTCTCAACCCCACACCAGGATCCCCAGCCCAGAACACCAGATCCGGGAAGAGGCACTCACATAACATCTGGCTGTGTAAATCAGTGGGAATTCTATCTGTCAGGAGGAGACAGAGTCTGCTAGAGACCCAATGACTACTCACCTTGACCATGACTTAAAGATTGGTGATCAGTTCATCCTGTGAGGTTACTTCCCATTTCTGATTTAATACAGAGCCCCTTTTTCTTTCATGGGAGTGTGGTGGGGGGTGTGACTGCCGAGGGGATGGAGGTGTGTGGGTGAATGGTCAGGGATCAGGGTGCCTAGGGCAGGGCTCTGGAGGATTTTTTTGGGGAGGAGGGGTTCAGCGATGAACCACTAGTGGCCCACTAGTGAGGACAGCAGCGGGTTGAGGGTGTCTTTCTTCCAGACGGGATACTGGCCAAGTGTTTGCTCTGAGTGGGCCTCAGGATCAAGCTAGGAGAGGCTGTGGCACAGTCAGTCCCTGGGGATACCTTCCAGGACTTCTTCACCTTTTTAGGATCAAGACTGTGGCGGCATACCCTCTACTCTTCCAAATACCACCCACAGCCACGCAGGCGAATGAAAGGACAGTGGCCCTAGCCCGCCCAGTGTGGCTCAGTGGTTGAGCACTGACCTATAAACCAGAAGGTCACAGTTCAATTCCCAGTCCGGGCACATGCCCAAGTTGCAGGCTCCATCTCCCGTAGAGGGCGTGTGGGAGCAGCTGATCAATGATTCTCATCATTGCTGTTTCTCTCTCTCTCCCTCCCCCTTCATCTCTGAAATCAATAATATATATATAAAATATTTTTATTGTTTTTTTACAGAGAGGAAGAGAGAGGGATGGAGAGTTAGAAACATCCATGTGAGAGAATCATCGATCAGCTGCCTCCTGCACACCTCCTTCTGAGGATGTGCCTGCAACCGAGGTACATGACCTTGACTGGAATCGAACCCGGGACCTTTTAATCCACAGGCTGATGCTCTATCCACTGAGCAAACTGGTTTCGGCTAAAAATACATTTAAAAAAAAAAAATAGTAACCGCCGAAACCGGTTTGGCTCAGTGGATAGAGCATCGGTCTGCGGACTGAAAAGTCCTAGGTTCGATTCCGGTCAAGGGCATGTACATTGGTTGCGGGCACATCCCCGGTTGGGGGTGTGCAGGAGGCAGCTGGTCGATGTTTCTCTCATCAGTGTTTCTAGCTCTCTATCTCTCTCCCTTCCTCTCTGTAAAAAATCGATAAAATATATTTTTTTAAAAAGTAAAACCTTTTAAAAAATAAATAAAAAATAGAAATAAAAATAAAAATGAAAAAGACAGCAACCCTAGCACCATACCTTTCAGCCGCGCAGGGGCACTGACCCACAGGGGGCGCTCCTCTGCAGCCCCCCTCCCCCCTTTCCCTCCCTCCCCGCCCCCGGCCGCCTTTCCGCTGCGCAGGCGCACTGAGCCCCGCTCGGGTCAAGCAGGGAGCACACTCCGCAGGGGGTGGGCCCCAGGGCGAGGGGCGGGGCGAACTGGGCTCGCGGCTGCGCACTCGCTAGCGCCGCCCGCCCCGCCCACTTCCGGCGCGAGTCTTTTCCTGGTCTAGGCTGCCGGGCTCACTATCACCGACCCGCCGACCGTTTGGGCCGTTCCCACCATGGGCTCCGGCGGGGCTTGCGGGGGGACGATGCGCTGGGGGCTGCCCCTCGGCGGCGCCACGCTGCTCCTGCTGCTCCTCCAGGCGGCCGCGGCGCAGGCGGCGCCCGGATCAGGTGAGACGCGGACCTCAGAGGGGGCTCGGGTCCCAAGGTGGGGCGGGGCCGCGGAGGCGGCGCGGGGCCCTGGGGTCGGGCGGGAAGGTGATGGGGTCGCGGGATTCTGGTGCCAGGCAGGGGGCATGGGGGCATAAGGGTCCTGGGACGCGGGGTCTCCGCTGCGAGGGGTCGCGGCTTCGCCTCCGGGCCGCGGTCTGCGGGGGTGGCCGCCCCAGTGTCCGGTCACGCGGGTCCAGCCGCAGCGGGGGCCCCTGCATTGGTCTGGCCATCGCTTTGTCCTGGTCCAGCCGCGCCCACCGCTCCGCGGGGCGTGCGAGGTGGTCCAGGCCCGCGGCACGGCCCCATGGAGGAGGGGAGCTCCGAGTTAGCAGGGGCATCAGGGGGAGGTAGGAAGGCGTGCACAGCGCCACTGAGCTGGGCTGATTCCCTGCCACACTGCCAACTGCGGAGGGCCTTCTTCCTTGGCTTATCATCCCACCTGTTATTAACTACCTGTGCGTGCGGGGAGCACTGGTGATCCAGAGTTCCTTCCTGTCTGTGCCTCAGAAGCTGAGTTTCTGGGGAGACTGACCAAGAAACAAGCCATCAGGGTGCTGAGGGTGGGGAGGGAGGTAGGTGAGGGAGTGTTAGTGGAGCAGATTGCATGGCCTGAGGGCAGAAGAGTTGCAGACACAGAACAATACTGTATTTACTGTATTTGCTGGAGGTGCAGGTGAGGGGGCCACAGTCCCCGGGCCAGGGGGAAAATGAAGTGCGGGAGCTGAGACTGGAGTGTCCCTCTGTTTCGGAAATGTTTCAAGTTGGCTGCTGTGTGTGGAGTTCCCCATGTGATCACTAGTGGGTAATGGAGCCAGGGGCGGGCCTCTTTAAGTCTCTGGTTCAAGATCTTTATTTATTTTTTGTTAATTTATTTATTGATTAAGGTGTCACATATTTGTCCTCAGCCCCCATTTCAATCCCCCACCCTTCTCCACTCATGGCCCCCCCCCCCCAATACCCTCATCCCCCTATTGTCCTTAACCACTGGTTAGCCTCATATATACGCACACTCAAGATCTCTCCAAGTAGACTTGAGGTAAGCTCAGTGTCTTTCTCAACTCCTGTTAGCCCAGGCTTTGTCAATGTCTGTTCTGCACTCTGTGGCCTTATTGCATACTTATTGCAGTGCAGGACTGTTAAGTTTCTTCTGATCTGGTCCTAAGATTAATTGTGTGCGTGTGCTTGCGACATTGGTTAACAGAGCAGTCTCGTTGCACTGTAGAGGGAACTTCTGGTCTAAGTTGGATTCTCAGCAGAAACTGGGAATGGGTACTTTTTAGGAAACAGAATGTGTATCTGGCAAAAAAAAACCTTACTTGCGCAAGAATCTTCTCAATGGCTGAGGGTGCGTGTCAGGAAAGGCCCGGAAGTGTTTGGGAATTAAGCTAAAACTATCCTAATATTTTTTGGTAGAAAGCAGCTCCTTCTCTAGCCACAAACGTGTACACTTGCTGTTGATCCAGTTGGAAGCTGCTCTCATTTGCTTTAGCTCATAGGATCCCAGTTCTGTCTCCTAGAGGTGCCCGTTGTCCTGAACTGTGGTTTCTCTCATCAACAACACTGTCAGATGGGAGCAATGGTGTCCTATTTTGGCGTTTGCTGTCCAGATGCCCTTGGGGTCTGCATTCCTCTTTAATTGGAGAGGAGGGGGCACTGTCAGAGCACTGAGGCTCCCCCTTCCACAGAGTGTGTACTTAGTGTGGTATTCTTTTCTGCTTGTAGTTCTGTAGGAATGTGAGTACGCTATTTAAAACATTGTGTCTTCCTTGTAAGGAGATGAGTGTTCTCCAGAACCAGCATAGCTGTAGCGAAAGAGAGTTATTTGAGGGCAATCCCTCATTCACATGACTGGAGACTGAGCAGTCCCGAGATCTGCCATCTACAAGCTGGAGGCCCAGAAAAGCGCTTGGTGTAGCTCAGCCCGAATCAGAGGGCCCGCAAACGGGGAAGCCGGTGGGTAAGCTGCAGCCTAGTCTGAAGGCCCAGCTACTAGGAGCACCGATGTCCCAGGGCAGGAGATAGAAGTCCTAGCTCCAGGAAGTAGATGACACTCAGAAGTCAGGTTTTACCAGCCCCCTCGGCATCCCTTAGCCAGGTCAAGGTGATCATAAAATTAACCCTCCCAGGTGTGAGTGAATTCTTAGCATATGTCATGCCCATGTCATGCCCATCCCAAACCGACAATTCCCACTGTCTTCTCATGAGCTCTGCTGGCGGGAGACGGGCAGAACCCACCAGGCATTGAGGATCTTGAGGGCAATTTCATTCTGTTGAAGAAACCTTGCCATGCTTTTGGACCCTCCTGTATTGTGCATGGGTCGGACTCCATCCTAGAGTTTCATCTGTATCTCAGGGAGAGTCGACATGTCAAAGGTCCTTAGAGCCGAAACCAGTTTGTCTCAGTGGATAGAGCGTCGGCCTGCGGACTAAAGGGTCCCAGGTTCGATTCCAGTCAAGGGCATGTACCTTGATTGCGGGCACATCCCCAGAGGGGGTGTGCAGGAGGCAGCTGGTCGATGTTTCTCTCTCATCGATGTTTCTAACTCTATTCCTCTCTCTTCCTCTCTGTTAAAAGTCAATAAAATATATTTTTTTAAAAGGTCCTTAGACCAGTGTCTTAAACAGAGGACCCCAAGGAGCTCCCTAGCAGCTGGGTGTGCAGGGGTCTGCAGCCTCCTTCCCACTGCCCACCAAGAGCTGGGGCTTTCTCCGCAGGTCGTGTAGGTGTTCTAGTAGGTTCTGTGCACGTGGCCCGTGGTGTTAGGTACTACCGTCTTCACTCTTTTCTACAGGGATAGGAAGATGACCAGGGCTTTTTTGTCTAAGAGAATTTTCCACCCTCTTTTCTCACGTGAAATGGACAGTGTCGGCTCAGTCATGTGCACTGTGGGCTTGTTCCACTGCCTAAGGGCTCGGCAGCTATAGCCCTTTGGCCTCTTGTATGACATATGGACCATAAATAATATACTTACTTGTTTCCTTATTTAAAAAAAAAAACAACATCTTTTTATACACGCTAGTCTATCTTTTTACTTAATCAGTTGACTCACCTGAGAACTGGAAAGTGGGTCATGGGTTAGTGTATCCTACAGAAGAACAGTCCAGAGTGAGTGAGACCTAAAGTTCTTCAATTGTTAATAAATAGAATCTAAGTTGAAGATTTTATCAGTCATCAGCATTCAGAAGTCAGGCAGGACACTCACACTCAGCAGTAGACTTCAGAAACGGTGCTGGTGTGACCTGTGAACCAGGAGATCGCCTTTCATTTCCCGGTCAGGGCACATCATGCCCCGATTGCAGATGCAGGCTTGATCCCCAGTAGGGGCGTGCAGGCGCTAGTCAGTCAGTGATCCTCTCTCATCATTGATGTTTCTCTCTCTCTCCCTTACTCTCTGAAATCAATAAAAATATATTTTTTAAAAAAGAAGAAAGAAACCGTATTGTTCTTGTTTTTTGCTTTCTCTGGCTCTGAGCACATGGATTTCTGAATCCTGTGATGAGATGAGATGAGATGCAGTGAAGGAGAACTCCCCATCCTTGGAGCGGCAGCAGATGGTTCATGTATTGTCTCTGCTCACTGTGCGGGAGGATGGGGTGTTTGGAACAGGGTGACCTCCCAGCGCTGAGCTTGTTTGGCAGCTGTGTCTGCCTGCGTTGAGCACTGGCCCTGCTCCTGGCTGTGCTGGTGCCGGAGGAGGGCTGGGCAGTTTGCTTGGCGGCCGCCTCCCGTGCTTCTCTGTTGACTCATGCTGGCCCGTAATCAGAGGCCCTGGGTGGATGGAGTTTATGCTGTGTGCTTTGGACCACGGTTTTTTTAGTTCACCCAACACCAGTACACAAAGACTTTAAAAATGAAAATCCCCGTGAAAAAATTTCCTGGCGCACATCACCCCTGCTCCCCTGAGGAGTAAGTGCGTCCTTCCTTGTGGAAGTTTTCAAAAAGGACTCGAGGGTGGAAACATCCCTCCCACCCCTCCGTGCCTCCCCTGCCTAACTCTACTTAGAAAAAGTTCAGAGCCACAGATAAGCTGCAGAAATAACCAGAACAATGAGTTCCGAATCCCTTTCTGTTCCCACAGCATTTGCCACTCCTCGTCTGTGTGTTAGTTTTAACCAAACTATTTGAGAGTCAGTTGTGATGTGACCCTTTACCCCTAAATTCTTGGGTGTGTGTCTTCTGAGAATGAGGATTCTTTTGCATAACTGGTAAATATAAGACCAAAATCTGGAAAACCACCATGATAATGATACTTGAATACTTTTCCCAGTCATGTCCTATGTCCCCATCCTGTCCGCTGGCCTCATCTGGCTACATGGTACATGTGGTTATGTCTCTTAACATCTGTCCCTCTGGAATAGCTCCGCAGTCTGTTATTTTCAGACAGCTGCTGTGTGAAAGACCCTTGGTTTGGTCCCGTGTGGGTTTTCTTTGATTTGATTCCAACGCATTTTGACAGGATTCAGCCCCTCAGTGACTGTCCTCCCTCACCCTCTGGAAGGCACTGTTGTCAGTTGGTCCCACTGTCCTGTGGTCACAGGTTACACTGGAGATACTTTGATCACTTTCCAGGTGCCGTTTCTCACGATGAAGTGGTGATTAACATGGGAAGGCACCGCTCATGGGCACAATGGTCCCAGCGCCCCTGTTTGCTGTGATGGTTGCCAAGTGGAAATGCTTTTGCATTCTCTCTCTATATTTCATGTCAGTATGAAACCATGGACTGTTCAAGAGGTCCGAGTCCATTGCTGTCTGTCGTTATTTAAATAAGGAGGACCTCCACCAATCTGCTTCTGGCTCCATTTACCATTTACCCATCAACTTGTGCCACTTTCTGGCACAGCAAGCTGCCCAGGGCTGATGGTGTCCTTCCTCTGTGCCTGTTGTACAATCAGCTGTTTCTCCAAGGAGCCCTGGTTTCTCTCAGTGGGGAACAGCGTCTAGAAACCAAGCCCTTGGCACCACACAGGCCCCTTGCTACTGGGCATGGGACCTTCCGTGGACAGAGCTCATCATCATCCTGACACCACAGAGGTCTCTGCTTCTCCCTGTTCCCAGGGCCAGCGCGTTGGAACCTCTGAAATGGTGGTGCCCGTTGCCAAACTGCCACTGTCACCCTGCCTCTCGCAGTAGTGTTTTGAGAAATCGAGGTATTTCCGGGGCTGTCAATCTTCTTTACTTTCCTGAAACTAAATGGAATCTGTCGTTCTGAGTACTTAAAACAGTTTAAAAATAAGCTTCAACTTAAACCAAATAGCACACCATCAAAGACGCTGAAAAGAGCAGTATTCGATAATAATAATTGCTGCAGAATAATACATGAAGGAATCGACTTATATTTCATTTAAAATAAATAGGATTTTATTTAGAGAAATGGAATGTAGAAGAACTACACTATTGAATAGATGGACCAATTATTTTAGAGAAAGTACCACTTAACAAGCACAGTGAATAAAAAATGTAACTAGATGCTGAAATCGGTTTGGCTCAGTGGATAGAGCGTTGGTCTGCGGACTGAAGGGTCCTGGGTTCGATTCCGGTCAAAGGCATGTACCTTGGTTGAGGGCATGTCCCCAGTGGGGGGCATGCAGGAGGCAGCTGATCTATAACTTTCTCATCCATGTTTCTAACTATCTCTCTCCCTTTCTCTCTGTAAAAAAATCAATAAAATATATATATTTTAAAAATGTAACTAGAGGCTAAAGCTCTTTTCCCTGCATTTTAGTATGAAAATCTTCATACAGCAAAATTGAAAGAATAGTATAGTCAACACTCCTATACCCAAAACTCAGCTTTTATCCTTCACCTTGTGCTGTGTTGCCTCTGTATAAGTGTCCTCCTGAAGGCATTTTGAAGTAAGGTCCAGACGTCATACACTTCCCCTCAGAACTTCACTGCCTATCATTAACTGGAGTTTAGCTTTTTTTTTTTCTTCTTTTTTTCTTTTCTTTAAGATATCTTGTCCATACAGTGAAATGCAGGAAAAGTAGTATGCCACTGGATGCGTTATAAGATAATGCTGACCTAAAAATAAAAGGCCTTTCCAAGTGAGAGACAGCAGCATTTAGCTGAGATCAATAAGAATAGTTATTCTGGATATACTAATTCAGGCAGAAACCCAGATCTTGTCCCAGTTAGGGGACAGAAGCAATGGATATTTATGAGAAAGGTAAAGGGAATAGTATATCAGTAGAAGGAAGGCTATTGGTGCAGATAACATAATATAGTGACATTAATTCTAAACAGTGTGTGTGTGTGTGTGTGTGTGTGTGTGTGTGTATCCTCACCAGATATTTTTCCCATTTTTTTTCTTTTAAGAGAGAGTGGAAGGGAGGGAGGGCGGTGAGAGAGAATATCAATTGGTTGTGATGTTCTAACCACTGAACCAAACAGCCAGGGCTAAATAGTATTTTTAACTTTCAATCCAGTAGTTATATAAGTATGTGCTTTCTTGTTGTCTTTACAAATAGTTTTTTAAGAAACAAGGTTGCTCAGGCCCAGTTCAAAGGTTATTTTGCCCTGTTCTAACGTTCCTAAGATTTGGGAATAAAAACATTCAAGGCAGTTCCTTTGGCATGGCAGCTCCAATTCCATGTTCAAGTGGCTCCATTTAGATTATTGTTTACAAGTCCATTCGTGTTTTTGTGTATATAGTTGTATGTACTACTTTTTGTGGCTGAATAGGGTTCCATTGTATGACTACGTTTGTCTGTCCATCATTCTATACCCAGACATCTGGGCTGTTTTCAGCTTTTGGCATATTAAAAATAAAGTTGCTATGAACACTCCTATAACACGTCTTCCTGTGGATGTATGTTCTAATTTTTCCTGGGTGAAATAACTAAGAGTGGAATTGCTGAGTCATAGGGTAGACATATATGTTTGTTTTATGAGGAAGTGCCCCTCTATTTTTCAAGTCATAGAAACAATTTGTGCTCCCAGTAAAACTGGATGAGAGTCCCCACTTGCTCTGCAGCCTCGCCAACATTTAGGATTGTCAATCTTTAATTTTAGCCATTCTGATGGTAATGAAGTGGTATATTATCACAACTTTTAAGTTGCAGTTCCTGGTGATTAGTGAGTTTGTGCAGAGCTGTTTTCAAAGTGTGTGTTTGTTTTAAGGGATAGGGTGGGGTAATAGCCGCTGCCTGATGTCATTCTGGAAATGTTTCACTTATCACACGTTCTTGGTGTGGGGTTTGACCCCTCCCTGGAGCAACAGTGCTGGGAGGGTCCCCAGCACGGCTCCTAGGGATTGCAGCCAGCTTCTCCCCTGTGTGCCCAGAACACACCCCTCTCTGAGGGGCTGGTGGGACTGGCCAGGGGCCAAAGCCCTGGTGGTTAGTCAGGTGGGCCTGGCATTGCTGTGGTGTTAGCTTCCACCGAGAGTGTCTGCTGCTGAGCTGGTGGCCTCAGCCGGCTAGTGGCCCATGGCATCTGACCCCGTGGCTCCCCTCCTGAGGGTATGCTCAGTCACCTTTCCTGAAAGACGCCCGTGGGTACAACCCTTTGTGATGTTTCACATACCTCCTGGTGCCCTGCTGCAGCGGGGCTCAGTAACTACTCTGCCCCTGGAGGCTCGGCACCGGAGAGGACCCTGTGCAGCACTCCCTAGCACCCCTGCCCTCCTGGCTGATACATTGTTTTTTCCCCACAGCTTGCTCCCAGAGCACAAACAAGACCTGCCAAGAGTGTCTGAAAAACGTCTCCGTAAGTAGCACGTGACTGGAAGCAGGCCCACTTTTGCTAACGGGGGTGTCCCTGGTGTGTGCTAAGGGCTCAGATGTTGGGGATGTGGGAGATTTTCGTGATGGGTATTAAATATTATTTCAGCCCTTCTCAGGCACCTCAAGCTGTCCCATGGGGATTGCAGATGCCACCTGAGCATCATTAATAGGCACATTTAACTCCTGAAACAGGCATGGGGTCATAGAAGGGTGCGCCAGGCCTGAGGCGGGAGACGTGTGGCGGTGAACGTTGGTGCCCAGTGCTGCTCAGAACGGGGATTGCGGGGACAGAGGAGCAGACAGGATGAGCGCTGGGCTGAGGGGTCCATCGATGCCTGTTACCCTGTGACTAGGGCCTCATTGGTGTCATTAGACCATAGAGGCCTGTTGGGACAGAGTTATGACTCCCTCTGCAGATGGTCCCGGAGACGCAGCAGGAGTGTGCCCAAAGCCCTGTCATCCACCCTCAGGGGTCAGAGGACGAGAGCCGCCTGTAAACTCCAGCCAGAGGCCCAGCTCTCCATGTCCCACGTCTCCGCCAGGGCGGGAGGTGCTTCTCTCTCAGCTCTTCCCACAGGAATGGGGAAGCAAGGCGAGAGCCAGGGGAGACACAGGCGCCAGGTCAATGGGGGAGTTGGGGGCGTCTGGCCCAGTGGGGTCAGCCTGTTCACAGCTCACTGGTCAGGAGGTGAGCCTCGCAGCCAGGATGTCCCAATGTCCCTGGTTCTTTTAAGTCCTGGGTGACCTTGGGCAAGAGGGTAGCTGCCCTGGAGTGGAGGCCCAAGGCTCATGTGGGCCGCCTCCCCAGGGGCCGTCCTGGGAGCCAACACATAGGTGTGTGCCGCAGGCCACCGGGGAGAAGAGGAGAGCGACATGTGACGCCGGGGAAACCTCCACCCCATCTGGCCGTCTCGGGCTTGTGGGAACAGTGCTGCTTTGTTAGGGTCCGGGTGCCACTCCTCAGGCTTTGACTTCCTGGCAGCACCCGATCCAGCAGCCCGTGAGTGTCCGGCTCCGTTTCCCCGAAGCGCCGTGTGGTCAGCACCGAGGACCCGAGAGAAGCTGACCCAGGATTGCTGGGAGAGAAGACACCCGCCCTTTGTGGGGCCTCGGCCTCGGGCCCCGGGGGAGGCTGCGTCCCCGCCGTGGCCGGGTCTGTGTGTGTTGTAACTATACAGCCTGTGTTTCTCTTTCCCTCATCTTAGGGTTCAGTGACCAAGGGCAGGGGTCAGGGAAGATCAGATGATTCCCCCTTCAAGACCTGGGGCCATGTTTTTACAAAACATAGGAGGGTCTCAGGTCCCAAACACATCTGGTGGATATAGGACTTACCTCTGCCAATTAAAACGGAAAGGAGCTTGTACTGCAGTTTCAGGTCTTATCGTTGACAACGCTGAACCAGATCGGGGGGCTCTGGTCCGCAGGGTGGCGTTTTCTTGATGTTGCTTCTTTTTAGTGTCTGGGTTTTTCTATTGAAGTCACTTCAGCCATAAAAATGGCTTAGAGTCTCCGTGGCTCCGCAGTTCCCGGAGCACCTTTGCAGCTCTGCCCTGTTCAGCTCTCACCTCCCTGGGAAGGAGATTGGGGAGGTGCAGGTGAGGGACATGTCCAGGTCACATGTGAAGTCCTGACCCCCCCTCTGAACCCAGACAGATCAAGTCAGCGCTGCGGGCGCACACGTGCAGGGGGGTGAAAGCAGGGGTGGGCCGTGCGTGTGGGAGGATGGGCAGTGCCTCGGGGGCCTGAAGAGCCCGAGCAGGTGAGAGGGAGGCTGAGGGCGCGCTCTGGGTCCCGTTGGCGTCACTCAGTTGTGTGCCATGAACATATTCCCTCATTCGTGTAACAAAAACAACCACAACAACCCCACTGAAGAGAACCTGCCCTCCTAGTGAACGCCTGTGGCTTTTGGTAAAATCATAGAAAAATGGAAAGTTCGACGTTTAAAACTTAAGCTGTTTGAAAACGGGAGATTTACCAAACATTGTTAAACCAGAACAAAACCACTAAAATGCAAGATATTCTCAAACAGCCAAAATAGAAAGGATTTTTTCCTGCTGTTTACTAAGTACGCTCAGCCACTTTAAACACAACCCAGTGCAGTGGATGTTATGTAAGGAGGCCTGGGGAGCCTTTATTCTAATATATTGTGCCGTGGACGTTCCTCCTAACCTGGGACCAGAAAAAACACACACACACACCATGGCGTTGTGTCCTATTAAAATCTCAAAGGGAAAAGAACGCCATAAAACTGTTCCCTTTAAGATCTAAAATAACAAGCCAAGTTCTTCCTGTGCGGCACATCCTGCAGCCTAAGCCCCACTTCCTTTGTTGCCAGCTCCAGACTCCCCCGCGCACACGCACTGGGGGAAGGCACTGTCCCGGCCCCGGACCGCCTCTCCCCTGACCCTGTAGGGGCTTAAGGGCATCTGTGAGGTTCCAGGAGGTGCCTTTGAGCCTCGGTGGCACTGTCTTTAAGATGCCTGGAGGTGATACTCACTTGCTGCTCTTGCAGAGGTCAGAGGTAGGATCTTAAGATCTTTACGCGGTGGAGGTCATGGTCACAGAAGCCCACTAACAGATACTGAGCTGCCAAGGGCCAGCCTTGGTCCGCCTGCTCGGGATCCTTCAGTGACGCACATGGATGCCTGTCCTCCTGGTGATGGGCCAGAGAGGCAGCTGAGTGTGTCAGGAGGCAGTGCGACAGCAGGGGCGGAGGTAAGGGGGGCAGTTTTCAGTAGGCTGCCCACGTTAGGCCTCATGGAGGCAGTGAGAGAGCCACATGCGTCTGGGAGGGATGTTCCAGGCCGAAGGAGCAGGTCTTGCAAAGGCCCTGCGGGGGGAGCTGCCTGGCATCCTTCAGGACAACACAGAGGCTGTGTGGCTGTTCAGGGTGCCCAGTGGAAGAGGTGTGAGTGGCACGGTTCTTGGAGGGCAGCTGAGCCTCTGTGTTGGGGTGAGAGCCCAGGCCATTACCATCCCCCAAGGGTGAGCAGATCAGGTGGCTGATGGTTTAGGGCCGTGGTCGGCAAACTCATTAGAAGTCAACAGAGCCAAATAGCAACAGTACAACGATTAAAATTTCTTTCGAGAGACAGATTTTTAAAACTTAAACTTCTTCAAAATAGACTCGCCCAGGCCACGGTATTTTGGGGAAGAGCCACACTCAAGGGGCCAAAGAGCCGCATGTGGCTCGCGAGCTGCAGTTTGCTGACCACGGGTTTAGGGAATCAGGTCCTGGACTGTCTGATTCTTTGGTGTTTACTTTGAATTTCTAACATTTAATGTTTATCTCTCTCAGTGTCTTTGGTGCAACACGGATAACACATGTGTGGACTATCCGGTGACAAAAATCTTGCCGCCTGCTTCTCTTTGTAAGCTGAGCTCTGCACGCTGGGGCGTTTGTTGGGGTAAGTGGTCATTTTATAAAATTGGCTTCTTGATTGTGCTCATTAACACAAGCTGCCAGGAAATGTTTTTCCAGTAGTTCTTTGGTGTTCCCAGTGGGAACTTGGGGAACCAGTGAGAGCTTGTGGTGTCTTAACTGGTGGCAGGGGGTGGGGGCTCCTTGCAGATCTGGAGGCTCACCGTCAGGCCTCAGCCTTGGCTCTGCACGGGGTCTCCACACCCTTGGGGGTGGTGAGTTGAAGGCTGCTTGTTGGGTGGCTCAGCACCTTGTGTCTTGGTGGTGTTCGTGGGCCACCTTGACCCCTGTAGGGGCTCTGACTTCCCAGCAAGGAATCCCTGCTCCGCGTGGGCCTGTGTCCCATCATCTGCATATGGTTGTTACAGGTGTTCTTTCATCAGAAATTAGCCCTTTCTGAGATTCAGATTGTTTCTAGTTTACTTTTATGTAAAAAAAAAATTAATGTGAGAGAGAGACATCCATCAGTTGCCTCCTGTATGCACCCGGGGATCATCAATAAAGAGAGAGAATCATTGATCAACTGCCTCCTGCATGCCCCCTACTGTACTGGGGATGGAGTTCACAGCCACAGCAAGTGTCCTGACCAGGAATTGAATCGTGACCTCCTAGTTCATGGGCCATTATTCAACCACTGAGCCATACTGGACAGATTCTAGGGGGGGAGAGAGAGGGAGAGAAAAAGAAACACCGATGTGAGAGAGAAACATTGATAAGTTACCTTCTATATGTGCCCTGACGGGATTGAATTCATAACCTGGGCCTGTGTCCTAACCAGGAATCAAACCAACAACCTTTTGGTGCACTGAACACACTCAGCTAGAGGCGGTGGCAAGGCCACCTTTTTAAGCTGCATAAAGGAGCTGTTTCCTTAGGGCACTTTGGTATTTCACTTGTGTGCCCGCAGCTTATTTCTTATTTATCTGTCTTTTTTCTAATTGATTTCCATTTTAGACTCCATCAGCCTCCATTAGAAATACTCACTTACATTGCTGAGGCCCCAGGGAATCCAGGATTGGGTGGTGTATAGTTGAGGGGCCTACTGTGTGGGCATACATGTGTGTGCATGTGCCCACGTACCCTTTGTCATATCCACCCAGTTGATCATTCTCTCTGCTGTCCTCATACCAGAAAGGCGCCACTGGGCCTCGCTGCCCTCTGCTTCCGTCCTGTCCATTGTCTTCTCCATGGAAGCTGTCTTGCTCACTGTCTCACAAAGACCGCTCCTGGACCAGGGACTCTGGGACCCTGGGCGTGTTGAACATGAGCTGTTCAAGTTGAAGTTTAACTTCTACTGGGGTGCACACATCTTAAGTCATCCTTTATAGAATACAGTCTACAACATAAGCACACATGGATACACACATACATCTATTCAGTGACTGTTTACATGAGCACATAGCAAAATGTACAGACCATATCTGGCACCCACAGGACCAGTTACTGTCAGACCCCGCGGGTAACTGCTGGACTGACTTCCATCAGCAGAGGTTAGTGCTGCCTGACTCTGCCCTTCACATAAAGGAAGCCCTTCCCTGTGTGTTGTGTGTGCCGCTTTGTCTCTGACTTCGGGCATGTTCACAGGTGCGCCTCCATTCTGCTGCTGAAGGCATTGGGCTGTGGTCTTGTGTGGGATGTGTGCCAGCGCTCCCTCCACAGGGCATATATGTAGGCGTGGAATTGCTGCCTTGCCACATGTTCGCTCTATAGGGCCACAGGCATTTTTCCAGAAAGTTCTACCAGCTTATGCTCCCCCAAGCAATGTGGGGCTTCCAGTCTTTCCACATCCCTGCCAGTGCGTGGGCACTCTGTCATCTTCGGTGTTGTCCATCTGGTGGGTGTGAGCGGCATTGCCCCGTGGTTTTAATGTGCATTACTCTGAAGGCTAATGATGATGAGCTCCCTTCCAGGCAGAGGGCAGGTTTGATAATTCTCTTGTGAAATGAAAGTCCCTCCCAAGGGCTTATAGGGAATGTCAAACCCAATAACCAAACACTGTATGGACAAGATCCATGGCAGTGTACTCATCCCCTGTAGTCACAGCCCTTGGGGAGGGATACTGGATGATTGGGGGCTAGGGAGGAGGCTTTGCAGTAACAAGAGGGTGTGGTGCCTGGGTCAGACAGACGATGTGATTGCTTGAGCAATTCCAAGGGCCGACAGGGAAATGACACCTGCCCTAGTTCCCGGAATAAGGACGGTGGTTTGGTTGAGGCCTTACCTGTGGAGTAATGGGGAGGGGAACTTGTTGGGCCACTCAAGGCTCTCCTGGTTTCACCAGACACCAGGGTGCACTTAACACTAATGTTAGGCCTTACAACACAGGTGGTTTTTGTTTCCCCTCCCCCTCCCCAGGGCCACCACAGGTGCTTTTTTGTTAGTTTATCCTCACCCGAGGATATTTCTCCATTGCTCTTCAGAGAGAGTAGAAAGAGGAGGACAGGAAGGGGAGAGAGAAACATCGATGTGAGAAGAAACACATTGATTGGTTGCTTCCCCAATGCTCTAACCACTGACCCATGCCAGCTAGGGCACAGGCGCTTTTTATTCTTACAATTTAGAGTCCTTTTATCCAGTTTAGGCAAAAATGTTTTGGAGTTTTAATTATAATAACCTTAAAAATATAAGTTTGCTTGGAGAAAAATGACGATATGGCCATTTTGAACCTTTGTCCAGAAGCAAGTTGTCACTCCATCATCTGGGCCATTCCTTACGTCTTCTGGTGGAGTGTCATAGATATGCCAGTCAGGATAACAGGGAAAGGGCTCATAGTTTTGCTTCCTTTACAATGTGATTTCTGTTTTTATTTTATGACTGGTTTTAGCTGCTAAGCAGGGAAGCTATTTTGGGATAGGAATATTTTAGAGCCAGCTAGCCAATTGATCAACGTCACTTTTAAAGTTGATCATTGTAGAGTTCTCGAGTCAGAAATGACACCATCTGCTAGTGAAGGTCTCTTTCTAGTTTCACTCCTGTTGCAACGCCAGTGCTTCTAAGAGCAGGTCAAGGAAGGAAAGAAGACGGTTATGGCTCAGGATTCGGTCACATGTCATACTGCTCCCGATTGTAAAATGATTGAGTAACCCATAAGTGAGTGCTCTGCTGCCAGCAGCCAATCTGAATGTGACGTGGGTCCACACCAGCACAGAGCCCTCCACTTGCCTCACCATCCAAGCCCCAACCTGACCACAAGTGAGATTAGAGATCATCCGCTTCCTGTGGTGGCATTTTAACCTCATTTTCAGAAGCAGCTGGAGCAGGTATGGGTTTGCGAAGCCTGGAACCCACTATTGGCCAGGTGGCTCCTCAAGTCTTCAGTGGCTGGTGGGGTTTTTAAAGATTTTTTAGAGAGAGAGAGAGAGAAACGTGGATGTGAGAGTAAAACACCCAAAGGCTGCCTCCTGCATGCCCCCTACTGGGGATCAAGCCCGAAACCCTTTGAAGCAAGAGGTGACACCCAACCAACTGAGCCACACTGGCCAGTGTGGCTGTTTTAACCGGACAATTAAAAACACATTCACAAAAGAAGTATTAGAGTTCAGATTGAATTAAAAAATAGTGACTGGTTTTCATTTATAAATCTTTAAGAGAAGCTGAAAAGAAAGTAGAACTTGCCTCAAGTTTGTCTTTGGTCTGGACAGGAAGTCATGAACTCATTTGACACGATAGGCATCTGGGGAAGATCCCCTGTCCTGCGTGCCTGCCGTGGCCTGAAGTTTGTTTCTGTGCAAAATAAATGCATTGCTCTTGACTTAGACTTAATTAAATGAGCTGCATGATGCTTAAATTTTTTTTTTTTTTAAGGAAAGTCCAAACACACAGCTGAGTATTCTCGTTCTTCTGGGTTTAACTTTCCTCCGTCTTAAAACATCTTTTCAGTATCTGGTGGTGGACCCCAAAACGTGGATCCACCCTGATTAATGGAGAAATTGTTAGGTGGCCCAGCTGTGCACTAAGAAAGGCCTGCTCTGCAGCCTGGGCCTCCCTCTGACAAAGCTCGCCACCTAGGAGAGCATGCTGCTGCCGGGGTTTCTGCTCCAAGCAGCTCTGACTTGGCCCCTTTGCACTTACAGTGAACTTTGAGGCGTTGATTATCGCCATGTCGGTGGTTGGGGGCCTCATCCTCCTGGCGATTACCACATGCTGCTGCTACTGCTGCTACTGCCGAAAGAAGAAGAGCCGGAAGCCAGACAAGAGCGAGGAGAAGGCCATCAGGGAGCAAGAAGAGAGGAGAATACGGCAGGAAGAAAGGTGAGGCCACAGACCCACTCCCATGGGGGAGAAGAGCCCTTCAGGGGACTCAGATCGGGCAAGTGACATTGATAAGTCACAGGTCTTCTCTGTTTTTAAAAGCGTTCATGTAAGTGTTGGTGGATTTTCTAGGTTGTGATATAAAGAGTGAGAAGGCTGTATATGCAGAGACCTAGTCAGTGGCCAGGACCTTCCTTGTCCTAGGCCTGCTGGTTCCCTGTCTGTTTCCTCCATCAGTGAGCTCAGGGCTGCAGCTGGAGGTTGCAGCTGGCAGAGCCTTCCTGCTTGCAGTGTCATGGGAGTGGGTTCTCATGCTGCAGGGACAGGAGCCACTGAAGGCAGTTTTTTAATCTTCATTTACGAGCAGACCAAGGCTCCGAGAGGGAGGAAAGCCTTTCATGGGTCACTTGTCTCAAGCCCCAGGCCGAATTGGGTCTTGTGCCACCAGTGCTGATCAGCCCCACTTTCCGGGTTACAGAGCACTTGGCAGGTGTGAGATGCAGCCCTCGGTCACTGTCCCTGCCCAATGAGGAACCGGGTGCTGACTTGTCGGGATGGCAGCCGATAAGGCCTGAAGCCCCACAGGTCTCCAGGTCACCACCTTGAAGTCATGGGCCTCAAATAAAAGCTAGCTTTCGCTTGTTCCTAATCATCTTTAGAACCAGCATAAGGTTTTTACTGAATGCTAGCTTTTCTTTATATAAGAAAACAATTTTTTTAAAAAAAAATCAGTATTGGACATTTGAGTTGCATTTACTGAAATAAAGAATTGAATAATATGATATTGGAGCAGCTCAGAAGGCTGTGCTCACATTACCCTGCCTGTCCCAGTGGGAGTGTGGCCTAATGGCCAAGCTCGGCCTACCCTGCTGTCTGTCATCCTGGAAAAGGAGAACAAACCACAGCTTCTCTGCTGGGGAAATGAAAGGCGCTTCTTTTAAAGTTACATTGTATGTTGATGCTAAACAAGGTTCTGTTTGTTTTTTAGGAGGGCAGAGATGAAGTCAAGGCATGATGAAATCAGAAAAAAATATGGTAAGAATCGACTGAATCTCTGTTTCAGTTGGTGAGAAATTGATGCCAGGCCTTCTTGGTCACTGTTGATGTCCCATGAGGTCTAACTGCAGGTTATGGGGACAGAAAGATGTCTCTACTATTCTAAGTGGTGCCGTTATGAACTAATTCCATCCAATGTGTTAAAAGACGAATATTTGTCTCCTGACTCCTGTGTGTGGAGCTGTATTTCTTCTTTAAGGACTCGGCCAGAACTGAGGCCATGCTGTCCTTTCCCTGTTTCTGGGTGTTTTGTCCTGGGTTTGTTTCAGTTTTTGTTTGGAGAGATTGGGGGCGGGTGGTGAAGCTATTTTTTAGTGTTTGAGAACATTAGATCTGCTCCTGTGTTTAGTTGGTTCACATCCGTGAGCGTTGATATGCCTGCTCAGAGATTGCTCAGCATTTTGGGAAATGATAGACATGGTCTTGCTTGGCCTGTCCTGAGGCCAAGCCCTCACTGATGACAGCCCTGGGGCCTCTGGCCTTGAGCCACGCTGCCTCTCTTGACCTTGTGACCTGGGGATTTGGTTAAGTGGACCAGGCAGCTGTGCTGAATCCTAAACCAGACCAGAAACATGTCAAAGTCTTATCCGACTAATGCACTCATTTTGAAGCCCTCAGTGTATACAAGGAAAGACTGCGCTGTGTGGAATATTAGGATCCTCCTCACTGAAGTAGTAAATCCTCAAGGCTCCGTTCTCTACAAGAGCTGCTGGTCCTCTGGGCTGTGCACGCTGGTTCAGCTGGCCCACGGGCTGGACGTCCTTTTCATGACCTCTGCAGGCCTCCCGAAGGACACAGGTGTGCCCTGTGCATCCTGCTCGGCCTCAGGCTGGGGTTGACCTTGGTGGCCTCCAAGTGTTGGTTCCAGGCATGAGGCTGCTGGCCCTTCTCTTGCCGCTCGGTCTCCTCTGTTTAAGATGAGCTGTCCGGTGGCTGGTAGAGCCTTTTTTTGTATATTCCCACCTCTTGGCCTCCTCAGAGCACCAATATGGCTTTGCCACCTGGCCACTATGTCCATCCCGGGACCAGTGGTGATGGGCTCCTGTGTGGGTGCAATTCCCTTGTCCAGTGGCATCAGCACATGCCACACTGCCCACTCTCCCCTGGTGCCTCTGCCAGGGTGCGTGCCCATGCCCACCGAACGGCAGTGTCCACGCCTGTGACTGGGGACAGCTTTCATTTTCCACGAAAGTGAGAAACTTCAAAAGGAGCTTTGACATCTGATTAATATTAATGTAAATAGCCCCAGCCAGTTTGGCTCAGTGGATAGAGCGATGGCCTATGGACCAAAGTGCCCCAGGTTCGATTCCAGTCAAAAACATGTACCTTGGTTGCAGGCTTCTCCCTGGCCTGGGCCCTTGTCAGGGCTGGTGCAGGAGGCAACCAATAGATGTGTTTCTCTCACATTGATGTTTTGTCTTTCCCTCTCTCTTCCATTCTCCCTAAAAAGCAATGGAAGAATATCCTCAAGTGAGAATTAATAAAAATCTTATATAATGAAACCCTAATATGCAAATTGACTGAACCACATAACAACCAGTCACTATGACACGCATTGACCACTAGGGGGTAGATGCTCAAAGCAGGAGCTGCCCCCTGGTGGTCAGTGAGTTCCCACGCGGGAGTGCTGCTCAGCTGACATGCGCCAGACCCTGGGCTCACAGCTGGTGAGCACACCTGCAGCGGCGTGAGCCTCTCCCACCGCTGCTGCAGGGGGCGGTGAGGGGCAAGGGGTCCCGGACTGCGAGAGCCCTGGACTGCCCCAATCCCTGGGGCCTAAGCTGGCAGGCGGACATCCCTCAGGGGTGCCAGACTGTGAGAGGGTGCAGGCTGGGCTGAGGGGACACCACCGCCCTCCTCCCCCCAACCCCGCCCCCATGCATGAATTTTGTGCACCGGGCCTCTAGTATATATACAATACATTGTAAATAAAAGACAAAGGTGCGTGCCAAGCGCTGTAGCATAGGAAACCTTACACTTTGTGGTGCCGCTGCTCTTGGTGGGGCAGGGCCTGGTGGGCCAGGGCTCAGGGCTGTCAGTGGAGGTGCCACTTCCTGCACTGATGCACTTTGTTTCTATCGTTTTTGTGGTTAATTTAACCTTTAATGGTACTGATGAAATTAATTCAGGTGCCGGTTTGTATGAAGCCCCTTGAATGTCCTGGACTTTGGAGAGCCTCCTGCCTGGAATAAGTCCCAGGGGTCCCCAGTAGTGAGGGGAAGGGGCACATGAGTGCCCTCGTTTCACCAGTGCAGGCGGAACCCAGGTCTTGTTTTGGAAGGCTTGCTTTCCCTATCACGGAACAGTTTCCTTCTGAGCTAGAAATAGAGCTGGGAACCGTTTCTTTTCAACGTGGCCTTAGACTGCTGGCACTTGGCATTTATCAAATCTGGGCACTTTCTTCCAAGGCCTGAGGCTCCCCTCTGACAGGAACACATCCCCTGCCTCTTTCTCCCTTTATCTCTTCCCACCCCCGCCCAAAAAAACCCTGCAGTTAATAAGGGTGTTACAATGGCTGTAGATAATTTCAGTGTATAGTACAGGTTCTCAGAGAGAGAGACAGAGACAGAGACAGAGAGAGAGCGAGAGAGCGAGAGAGAGAGAGAGAGAGAGAGACTGACTGTTTTTCCACAAGCAAAGAGAAAACTAGTCTGAGTATTTATTTAGCACTATAGATTCTTCTACTTACGTAAGTGCTTGACAGTTTAATTGGTGGTGGCCTTATTAGTTCTTTTTTCAGCCTTAATTTTAAATGTTAATCCACATTTATAAAGACATTTAAAGGAAGGTGCTTTTTTCCCCCTGTATAATATTAGCTAACCACTAATCTGTGGGAAGAAAGATTGGCTTTAAATTTCTTTTCTTTTTTCTGTATGTGTGCTCCAGTTTTCTCATCTTTATTTTTAATTTATTTATTGTTTCTATTTATTTAATTTATTTTCTTCCCCTGGTTTTTAATTTCTTAACTTCTCTTTGAGCAAGTAAAGTCTTTATTTCTTGGGATCTGTTTTTCATAAAATTACTGGTTTGGGCACATTTTATTTCAGTGTTAAAGTCCTGTACTTTTACTTAGACTTTCAGAAAAGGTTTAGCGTAGTATTTGAACCTGCTTCGGATCCCCATTTTCCTATTGGCCTCAGTCAGTCTCCATAGAAAGCTGAATTGCATTGCTGTCTTGAATTCTGCTGTTGGCTAGTTGCACTTGTAACCAAGTCCATGTTGTTTGCAGGTTTGTTTAAAGAAGAAAACCCATATGCCAGGTTTGAAAACTGAAACACACTCCTGCTGTGTCAAGTCCCACAGGCGCTCCTAGGGACAGCAGGCTGCAGGCCTGGCCACCCCCGTCCTGCCTGCTGACCTTGATGGAGTGAGCCTGATGCAGCTGCCCTGAATGTTGTCCGTTCTTGTGAGCTTCTGTGCCCTTTCCTGTTTCTGTACTTAGTCACTTGAGATATTTAAGCCTGTGCACGTGGGGGAAGGCTGTTTTTGTTTTTGTTGTTAATTTGAGGAGGAATCATGCACATTCCACGTCTCAGTTTGTAAGCTGATTGCACACCGACAGCCACAACACTAACGCCATCCTCCTGCTGCAGCGGCTCAGACCTTCTTCCCATCCACCCACTAACAGCTCCACACCACAGCCGGGAGAGTCATCTCTGTGAGTGACGTGAGAGGGTCGGCCAATCCCTTGTCATCTCCCCCTGAAACCACAGGTGCGGGCCTCGAGTCCCTCTGCCCTGTCTCCCAAATGTTAATTCTGGTGGCTTTCCGAGTCCAGGACACAATGTCAGTGACCCTACTTCCTAGGCTGTGGTTGCATTGAAGAACATGGAAGAGTGAACTCATTGAAAACCTTTTTAAAATACATTCCATTGATTTTTTTTTTTTTTTTTACAGAGAGGAAGGGAGAGAGATAGAGAGCTAGAAGCATCGATGAGAGAGAGAGTCATCGATCAGCTGCCTCTTGCAAGTCCCAGGTGTGCCCACAACCAAGGCACATGCCCTTGACTGGAATCAAACCTGGGACCGCCTCAGTCCGCAGGCCAACGCTCCATCCACTGAGCCAAACCAGTCTCAGCTCATTGAAAACCTTTTTTAAAAAAATCCTAGATTTATTTCCCCACCTAAAAGATTTCACCAGGAAATTTCACTATCAATGTTCAGACCATGCATTGTATGACATTTTAATTTGTATCTTTAGCAAACCATGAAGCTTGTTATCCAATGAAAGCCTCTATTATAATTGAAGTTTTGAAACAACCTCCCTAAGGCAGAAGATGGGTACCCCCATGCTCCTGCTCGCTGTTCTAGCCCCAGTGACACAGGTGTCGGTCCAGTTGTGAGGTGCTTGGAGCTCTCCTGCCGTTGGCTGTGTGCCAGCCCTGAAGAGGAAGGGCTCTGTGCCCTGGGAAGTGGGGTGTCCAGGGCCAGCTGAGGGAATCTCCACACACTACACAGAAACAATGGTGATTGTCCTGCTTCTAAGATGACCCTGGCTCTGAGCCGCACTCCTTTGGCTCAGGCGTGTCCTGAGACTTCCCTTTAGAGGTGGGTTCTCACAAGGTCATTGGCCTCTGGGTGCCCTGTGGCACCATATAGGATGGCTCCATTTCTTTCAGAGCAAGAAATGTGGCTTTAGTAATAGACTGAACTCATGGCAGGGACAGCAGCAGACAATGAAGGGACAGTGGGAGCCGCCTCTCTCAAATCTGAACATACTCCCCAGCGCCAGATTGCTTTGAATTAGAAAAACATTCAGCTTCGGGAAAGTAGGCCAACAGGCACACAAAAGAAGCCATGCATTCAGTCTTCACACTCCTGCTGCTCTCCCATCACATCACGTTCACATGCAGACCTGGATGATCAAAACAGCATGACACGCCTTGAACCACGGAGACCGGTGCTGGGAATTAACGATTCTACAAAACTGAGAAACTAACCTTGAACAGAGTCTGTAGTCTTATTTCTCTCATGTGGGCATTTGGCAGCAATTTACAGTGTTATGAAACATTCCTTAATATTTTAAAGCAGCCTAATAATTTTTAGTTTCTGCTGTGTATTCATCGGAGGAACTTTGTAATAGACTTTAATGAACTTTGTATTAACATAGTCATTAGTATGTATGTAAAATCACTCAATGTAGGTTGCTGAGCTGACAGTAGAGCCAGGGGTTGGTAAATACAGTGAGCACAGTGTATTTAACCTCTCACGAGACATGGAGCCCTCGCCAGGGCGTCTGAAAGGCCACCCAGTCCACATGCTTTTCTCTGAACAGTTCTGAAAGCAACCAGAAATTATAACCTCAAGAAACCACAATGTTTGGAGTGCCTTAATTTTTAACCAGTTTCCAATAAATGGTTTAATACATGCTTTTGCTGAATACTCTGTGTTCCTTGTTTCATTTCTTAGTGGTATTGATATGGCTGTAGATTCTCCTCGACTAACAATGGGTTACATCCTGATAACAACCCATTCGTTCTAAGTTGAAAAAGCGTGTGATTTGCCCACCTACCAGACCCAGCATTAGAGCTCAGTCAAGTTCACAATGACGTGCTCAGTCGCTCACCTGAGTTTGTAGTTGGGCAGAGCTGTTTGACAGGGAAGACAGACATGTCATTTGTCAGCTGTTTTTGTTTTTGTGTGTGTGTTTTAATATAATTTTATTGATTTTCAAACAGAAAGGAAGGGAGAGGGATAGAGAGAAACATCGCTGAGAGAGAAACATCGATCAGCTGCCTCCTGCAAACCCCCTACTGGGGATGTGCCCGCAACCAATGTACATGCCCTTGACCGGAATCAAACCTGGGACCTTTCAGTCCGCAGACCGACGCTCTACCCACTGAGCTAAACCGGTTTCGGCTGGTGTCAGCTGTTTTGATCCCTGTGATCACATGGCTGACAGGCAGCTGCAGCTCACCCACTGCCCAGAATCACAAGAGGATCACACCGCATGTACTACCCCAGGAAAAGCCCCAAAGTACAGTTTCTGCTGGGTTTGTATTGCTTTTGCATCATTGTAAAATTGAAAAATCATAAGTCAGGACCATCATAAGTTAGGGACTGTCTGAACTTGGAGAGTGAGGGCAGTGAGGCCTTCTAGATACAGATAGACTTCTAAACCTACCGTGTGATACGTGAGCACTCTCAGCTTTCATACCCTGGCTGACGGGGAATGACCATGCCTTCCCCAAAACTCCCGTGCCCTTGCCCTCAGCCCCCGCCCAGCCAGCTGTTGGCTCTACTCAGTGCAGCACCCACCCTTCCCTCCCCCCCCCCCCCCCCACACACACACATACACACACACATACCACCAACCTAGGTTTCCCTACTGCTTAGCTGGAATCAGATACAGAACCCCAGGAGAAAGCAGTTCTGCTTTGAGCTTTGCTCCTTGGTGACCATTTGAAACACATAGCTATCAACAGGCACTCAGACTCCGCCCCTCTCTTTTGGGGGTTCTTCAATGCCTGGTTCACGGAGAGCGGCCCCTCCCTCTCTGAATTGCTGCTGAGCCATTTTTACCATTGCGTCAGTCACTGGGACTCTGGGACTTCCTCTGTGCCGAGTTCGTGTCTGGAGATGGTGATCAGTCCCGTGGGAAGTGTAAGCCTGCCCCGCTGTACTCTACCACTTCCAGGTGAAAGGACACAGGGCAGGTCAACTCCAGCTCCTCCGCTCTGAAACATCTAGAGGTTACCGGCCTCCATCTACAATGTGGGAGGCAGGAGGCCGTGTCTCTACCCCAGGTGTGGTGACAGGGTAACCTTGGACCTGGCCAGTTCTTAGAGTCTCCAGTCTGCGTGGGAAGCTCACATCAACCTTGGCCTCATTTAGGAACTCGGATGGTGGTGAGACCTGTTTGGAAAGATAAGGACAGTGAGTGAGATGCTTCGTCATCGTGCCTGCTCTTCAGGAGAAATCACTGCTAGTTAAAAGGTGAAAAGTTGGATGGGGAGACAGTGGCCGTGTCCCCATCACCTGGTTCTGGGCGTCCTTCCAGAGCTGGTCCGTGTCGCAGGGCTCCATCGTGTGCGTGCATCCGTGCACATGGCCACTGCCTCCCGGGGGGCCTTGCAGCACCCGTTCCGTCCCCTTTGGGGGCCCTGTGTTCCAAGCCAAGTGCGTTCATGCTGCCTTGGCATGGGATGTGAGTGAACCGTGGGGTCAGTTCTTCGAAGAATTCTGGGTCAAAGTGTCCATGATGCTTATTTTAAGTGTTGGTAGAATTCTGCCCAAGTGCCCACCTTGCTTGAAGGGGTCTGTAAGGCTTTGAAAGATGGGTGGAGGTTAGTATCCCCAAACCAGAGCCTCATCTGGAAGTCAGTTCTCTGGGTAGATGGGAGCTCAGGCCCTGTGCCGAAACCGATCATTGTCTCACTAATAGAAAGATGTAAAAGGCTGATCAACCTTGAAGCTCTGATTGAGACTATGGTAACTGAGGCAACTTCCCCATCAAATAACCATGTAAATCCTTACTGATGTGATAATCCATTTATCACCTGCTTAAAGGTAATGAGTGTATCCCATAGTCTCTATAAAAGGGATAGCAAGACCAGAATCTAGCAGCAGTCCTCCCCCTAGAGGTGGGATCCCGCAAGGCCCCCCATATTGCCAAGTTAAATTTCTTCTAGTCTCTTTCATTTGTGTGTGGCCCTTCTCCAGAACCCTGAACCACGCGGGACATGAAAGAGGTTCCCACAGCCGTGTGTGTGTGTGTGTGTGTGTGTGTGTGTGTGTGTGTGTGTTTGGTACAGTTGACAGTGCAGGCAGATGCTGGTTTAGGGCATCACTAAGAGCCCTAGGACCCTGGCGGCTGAGAGAAGCAGGACTGGCTGCTGGTGGCAGAGGCAAGGAGAGCAGGCACAGCCATCCAGGGAAACCTGAGTGTCAGAAACTCCGTCCTGTCAGCACTTCGGCAAGGAATTGCTGTCAGTTTCTGAGAAGTGAGACCAGGAAGGAGGCAGGACAAGCCCTGGACCTGCCACTGTGAGTGGTCCAGAGGCTCCCCAACCTCCCCACTCTCTATTGTAGGCCCCTCTCCGCAGCACCCCTACATGTCCGGCTGCTCCCGCAGGTCACAGGGACCACGCCCTGGCCAGGCAGTGGCTGATTCAGTGGTCATTCGTGCTCACTCCAACAGGAGGCACAGCAGCTGGCTCCTGAGTCCCCATACAGACTCGCCACGGCCTGATACTTCCCAGAAACCCGCATCCCTCACAGTCAGCATTGCCACTACTGAACATTCTCTGGCCACCTGTCCACTTGGAGGAGCTGAAGGACCCAGCACCAGTCACTCTTTGGGGGATGGAGACCTTACTATGTCCCCTGGCACAGGTGCCCGGCCAAGCCTGAGAGGCACCGGAGGCACCAACTTCCCGGATGGGCCCCTGGGAGGGGCTGAGTGGGCAGTCCTGCTGCCACCCTTGGTCCCTGGTCCCATGTATTCTGCTGGGGACATAGCCCCCAAGCGGCCTTTGTGAGTGAAAGGAGCCACACGTGGAAGGTTAGAAGTCCTTCACACTGGACTACCTGGACTTGTTACCCATGGCTGCTGAATCGGACAGACATCACATTCTGGTGGCTCAGCCCGGAGGCGTTTCTCAGGGGTGGCAGTTCTCCTCCCCGAGGTCTCGGGGCTGGGTGTCCGCTGGGCTCTTCGAGAGCTGTGTCCCCGGCCAGCAGGTGGGGAGGACAGGGGGGAAGTGACAGTCACCTCCACTCAATTCCATTGGCAGGAGCGCACTCCTGGCCGGACAGCCACCTGCTTCCCCAGGGCCACATCTAGCTGACAGGAACTGCGTCCACTTGAGATGGTGCCATCTTCCTCGGTAACGCTGGTTACAGAGGCCCCAGTGTGTGTCCTTCCCTGCGCAGAGAGGCCCACGGGCCAGTTCAGTGGAGACTTCCTTGGCTTGATGGGTTTTCTCTCCAGAGCTGAAGAGCATCATTAATCCACATTTGGTTGGAAAGCCTGAATACTAAGAACAATTCCTAACTTCAGATAATTCACCAAATACAGTCAACATAACATTCTTGAGTAATTCCACAGATTCTAGTTCTCTAAGCTTAGGGGGAGGGGCGCTGTGTCCACAAAATGAATTTTCTTTGATCGTGGGAGCTGAACTTGGAGTGAACTTGGGGTGCTGGCCTGCCAAGAAGCCTTACACTTTTACTAATGTTTCCAAGAGGATGCTGTTTACCAGCATCTCGAGATGACAGATGGGTGGTGAGCCCTGTCCCTGCCCCTGTCCTCCGCTCCCTGCTGGCCCCTGGACCACGGTGAGCCCTGTCCCTCTCCAAGGATCCCCACCAGCTGGCTGGCCTTCCTTGACACTAATTCTCAGCCATCACTAACAATGTCTCCGGCACCGCCCCTCTCGGGACTTAGCCTTAAGCCCTGGGTTTTGTATGTGTTTGTTCCTCCTGTCTGCTTTGCAAGTGATCACATTTGGCCCAGTTAGGTTGGTGAGTATGTCAGGCAGGGTGACGTGTGCCATTTTCTTCCTGCCTCACAATTTCCAACTGTGTATCCCAAGTAACGGCGTTGCTGTTTTGTTTTTATCAGCATTTTTACAAAATCACAAAACCACTTCCAGTTACTCAGTCTCAGGGACTCATGTCCAGAGGTCACAGCAGGAAGGGTGTGGCCCCTGTGTCAGCTCAGGAGTCAGGGGCTCCTGGCTGGAGCAACAACGGTTTCTCCGATTGAAACCTAAGCTGAAGAGTTGTTAACTCGGCATAAAGAATAGTTGACTCACCAAAACCAGTTTGGCTCAGTGGATAGAGTGTCGGCCTGCGGACTGGAAGGTCCCAGGTTTGATTCCGGTCAAGGGCATGTACATTGGTTGCGGGCACATCCCCGGTGAGAGGTGTGCAGGAGGCAACTGGTTGATGTTTCTCTCTCATCGACGTTTCTAGCTCTCTATTCCTCTCCCTTCCTCTCTGTGGAAAATCAATAAAATATATTAATAATAATAATAAAAAGAGTAGTTGACTCGAAAAATTTCAACCTAACACAGCAAAATAAAATATAAAAAAAAAAGAGTAGTTGATTAGATCAATATAAACAGTAGTTAACCCAGTATAAAGAATTGTTAACTAGGCATAATGAATAGTTAACTTGTATAAAGAATATTTAACTAGGTAATAAAGTAGTTAACCAGGCATAAAGAATAGTTAGTCCAGTTGGCCTGGTTCAGTGGTTGAGCATCGGCCTATGAACCAGGAGATCAGGGTTTGATTCCCAGTCAGGGCCCACACTTGGGTTTCGTGCTTAATCCCCAGTAGGGGGCATATATGAGGCAGCCAATCAATGATTCTCATCATTGATGTTTCTATCTCTCCCTCTCCCTTCCTCCCTGAACTCAATAAAAATATATTAACAGAAAAAAGAATAGCCTGCTTGCCACAGAGGGTTGCTAACTGAGAGACTGATGGGCAGTGGCTATGCAGAGGCAAGCTGGGACTTGGGAGGAGGTTGGATGATTCACACGCAGGACCTGAGTGATGGGGCTGGCCCCAAGCAGGAGGCACTGCTGTCCTGAGCTTGCTGGGAAGCTTTACACGTGCCCCCCCACCTCCTCCCCCCATAATCTCTCCCCCCATGAG